ATCTTAAATATGTACATGTTATCATAGATACCTTTAGTGGATTCATTTATGCCTCCCTCCAAACTGGTGAAGCCACAAAACATGTAATCAGTCACATGCTAACCCTATTTACAGTTCTGGGATGCCCACAGCAATTGAAAACCGATAATGGCCCAGGCTATACAAGTTCAGCCTTCTCCCAATTTTGCAAACGCCTCAATATTCAACACATAACAGGTATACCTTACAACCCTCAGGGCCAAGGGATTGTAGAGAGAGCACATCTGTCTTTAAAGATCACCATTAATAAAATTAAAAAGGGGGAATGGTACCCCACGAGGGGGTCACCCAGAAATATTCTCTCTCATGCCTTATTTATCCTCAATTTTTTAAATTTGGACACTAATGGGCAATCTGCTGCTAATCGCTTTTGGCATACAGAAACCCAAAAACAATTTGCCTCAGTGTTGTGGAAAGATCCGCTAACCAACTCTTGGCATGGCCCAGACCCAGTCCTCATCTGGGGCCGAGGTTCTGTATGCATTTACTCTAAGAAAATGAAATCTGCCAGGTGGCTACCAGAGCGCCTGGTTAAACAGATTGATCAAGTTAAAGGAATAATAGATAACCATATAGATAACTCCAGGGACGAAAATTCGCCCTGAGAGGCTTTTCCTGTTTTTTCTTTTCAGGAATGGACCGGAAGGCTGTAATCTTACTGCTAGGGATACTACTGCATCTTTGCCTGCTTGTGGAAGGAGGTTGGGGCCTCCTCCACACCCTGACGAGCTCTGGAGGGCCTTATTTGACCCCCTATGCGACTGCCTTGCAGGAAAGCTGCTGCTTAAAAGAACTTTTCAATAACCCCCTTTGGAGCGGGCTAAATGGGGTGTATCTTCTCCCTCTGTTGGACCCCTTACTTGGCCTTTTACTGATTGTGTCACTAGGACCCTTCCTCTTCATTAAGGTGATGGCTTTCATCAAGCAGCAGATAGATGCCATTAAGATGCAATCTATACAGGTCCACCACTATCATAGACTTGAAATGGCCGACAGAGAAGCTCACTCTAGCTGTGAGTCAATAAGCTCAAAAACCTCGTCACCTTGGTGCACTGGGCTGGTTAGCCAGAGACGGGCAACTGGAACTCAAACGCGTCGCCAACCACCACCTAAGACAGGAACAAGGCCTTATGCTGCCTTGCTTTCCAATGATGGGTAAGGACAGGTTGGCACCGTGTGCAAGTTTCCTGACCTAAGACAGGCACAGTCCCCTCAAGGTATTATTTCGGCCTTAAAAAAATTTAAAAAAAGGGGGACCTGTGGGAGACTGTTTGCATGGCATCCATTTTGCAAAAATCTGCTCTGCCATCTCCTGCCCCAAGGCAGGATATCTCTGCATCTCTGCATACAATGTTTCTGCATTCCTTTAAGTAACCATTTACTCAGCCAGTTATGCTCTGTTTATCATTTGTTCCACCCGGGATATTTACGTGATATTTACCTGAAATTGCTTTGGGGTGGTTACCACAAACTTATCGCTTGGCAACAAATGTTCTTGTTTTTCTGCTTCTTGCCCTATATATACTGTGGATCTCCCCAGAATAAACGAGACTTGATCAGAGCCCTGTCTTGTCTCCATTTCTCGTGTCTCTTGTCCCTCCTCATCCTCACTCCCCCTCTAGAGTCCTTGTTGCTCGACCTGTGGGACGGGTCACCCCTGCCCAACAATTCATATGTTGAAATCTAATCCCAATGTGATGGCATCTGGAGGTGGAGCTTTGGGGGTGATTGGGTCATGAGGGTGAACATTATTGCCTTTATAAAGGAGACTTGGAGAACTCCCCTACCCCTTCTGGTCATGTGAGGACACAGCAAGAAGACAGCTATCTATGAACCAGGAAGCAGGCCTCACTAGACACCAAATCCGTCAGCACTCAATCTTAGACTCCCAACCTCCCAAACTGTAAGAAATAAATTTATGTTATTTAAAAGCCAATCCATCTGCGATATTCTGTTACAGCAGCCCAAACAGACTAAGGCAGTCTAAAACAGTACCATTTAGCCCTATATGGCTCAGTGGGTTGGGGCATCACCCTCTGCACCAGAAGGTCATGGTAGGTTTGATTTCCAGCCAGGGTTTGATCCACAGTCAGGGCGAGTATGGGAGGCAACTGATTGATATATCTCTCTCACATCAATGTTTCTCTCTCTTCCCCGACCACCAAGTCAACTTTTAAAAAATTTTCAGCCCTGGCCGGTTTGGCTCAGTGATAGAGCATTAGCCCACGAGCCAATGAGTCTTGCGTTTGATTCTGGTCAAAGGCACACACTTCGGTTGCAGTTCATCCCCGGCCCTGGTCAGGGTTGTGTGGGAGGCAACCAGTTGATATGTCCCTCTTATGTCGATGTTCTCTCTCTCTCCCTTTCTCTCCTTCCCACTCTATCTGAAGATAAATAGAAAAATATCCTTAGGTGAGGATTAAAAATAAATAAAATAAAAAATTTTCAAAAATAAAGAAGAGTACCACCCAATTTGGGGATAGTGGATGGGTCAGTCATAGAGATAATTTGTGTAGCAGCTATAATATGTACTCTCATATACAAAGTAGGCAGCATAGGTATTTTATGAGTATTTTACAGAGGGACTACAAGGTCAGAGAGAGGAGTACTTGTCCCACAGTGAACACATGGCAGAGCAGGCCCTGAAATAAGGTATCTCTTTGCCAGCCAGTGTTCTGGTCCTTCAATTGTGCTACTTAGGGGCAGGTGATATTTTTGGCCTGGCCCTAAATGACTGTGTCAGCAATATGCAGGCATAGAGAGAACAGAACAGGAGTAGAATGCCCTCACTCTGGGGAATGCCATACCTGTAGGATATCTGTATTGCAGGCCTCCCATCATCAGTAGATGCTAGAATAATACACACTTGCTCAACTCTTGAATACCTCAACTCATCTAACTGCTTAGAAACTGTAGGGATGGCCAAATGACGCCATTGTGATCCGCAGCCAAAGACTTCCTTAAGTATAGTTTCCAAACCCTAAATGTATACGATGCTAGAAGAATGATAACTAAAAAGTGAGGGTACCAGGACAGAACCTAAGTGGAACTATATATTTATGTAATATTATATAATATTAATATAATCACATATCCTGGGGTATCTTCTAGGGCCCATATCCCATGTAGAGCTGTGAATAGCCTTTATATACCATGCAATGAAAATAAGCATTTCTTTAACTTTCTCTATCACATTTGACAAAATTACCTGAGTGGCTATGCTACTTTAAGAACCACCTCCTCGTGCATTTACTTAATTTTCCCTACTCAGGCACAAGTTCTTCAAAGAAAGGTTATTAGAGTTTTCTACTTTCTACAGTTCACACCAAGTACTCAATTGCTGTCGGTTGACTGGTCTGCAAAGTCCAGTATAAACACTAGTGGCTGGAGATGTTGCTGAGTCCTCATCGTCACTCAAACAATCTGTTTACCTACCCAAGCAGAGTCCTGAGACCACACATTCCTAACTGAGGATGTCTAACAAATCCTAGTCGGGAGGGGATCACACTCCTCCATATCCTGAGATGCCTTCCTCTTTCAACTTTTGACCTTACCATCTTTGTATGAACTGTCACTTCACAAAAGTACTGGCATACTATTTGCTCAAGAAAAAAAAGGAGGAAATTTAAGAATGAGGGCTAGCTTGAAAACCATAGCTGCTCTTTAACATACACCTGAGAAAGGTCAGCAAATAAGAGTTAAATAAAATGACATTTGTGTAGCCAAATTTGGAGTTTCACTAGGACACTGTCCTGTTTCCCAGAAATGTAAACTCCCTTGCCATGTAAACCTCCGTGAACAAAATAAAAATGGTCACTGCTCCAGGGCTGCAAAGCTGACTTTTCTTTCCAAGTGAACTACTCTTAAAAAGACCCCATGCAAATCCAAAAAGACCAGGGGCAGGTCAGAGCAAAGACTTTTTGTTTTTTTAATCCTCATCCGAGTATATTTTTCTATTTATCCAGATAAAGTGGGGGCGGGGGGGGGGGTGAGAGAGAGAAAGAGAGAGAGAAGCATCCATGTGAGAGAGACACATCAACTGGTTGCCTCCAGCATGACCCTGACCAGAACTGGAGACAAACCGCAACTGAGGTACGTGCTCTTGACCAGACTCAAACTCAAGACTCTGGTCTGCGGGCCAATGCTCTAACTGCTGAATCAAACTGGCCAAGGCGAGAATTGAATTCTTTGAAACAAAGTTACTAAACCACAAACCATACCAGGGACAATAGAGTACTGCTTTAAAAAAGACTAATGTCAAGTACTACTGGCTGAAATAGACTTTTAAAATTAACATTAAAGAAGGATGACCAGCCATGGCCAGTTTGGCTCAGCGGTTAGAGCGTCAGCCTGCGGTCCGGAGAGACATGGGTTCGGTTCCCGCTGAGGGCACGTACCTCGGTTGCAGTTTGTCCCCGGACCTGGTTGGTCGTGCGGGTGGCAGCCACTCGATGTGTCCCTTCACGTCGATGTTTCTCTCTCTCTCTCCCTTCCTCTCTCTCCCTCCCACTCTATCTATACAAAAAAAATGGAAAAATATCCTCGGGTCAGGATAAAAAAAACAAAAAGAAGGATGACCAAAGCATTTCAGATATTAACATTTTAAGTCACTGATACAAGGCAGAAAGTCAAAAGCTAATAGAGTATAGAATTGAGGTCAAGGGGGAAGAGGAACAGGACAGCAGATCCCTGTTGGAAAGGAAGAAGCACATTCCAGTAATTAGGGCTGCCCAACAAGGAGGTGGGTGGTCATGACCAGCAGCATGTTCCTCTGCCACCAACAGGCTGGGTGTGGTGTGGGAAGATATAAAGGCCATCCAGGCATCAGGCATCAGATTAAGCTCCTGGTTTCCGAGGTCTCTTCCAAACCTAGGAATTTCTGGCAAAGAGTAACCAGTACATATCCACAGCACCATGTAAAAATTAAATAGTTCATTCAGGATACTAGTATAATTTCTTACCTCCTGAAGCTGAGATTCTTTCTTTTTGGAAGACAAATTCAAGTGCTTTTCTAAGATGCCACAATACTTCTCTGTCTCCTTGTCATACTTCTTTTTGGCTTCCTGGTGAAAAGAGAATAGAGGAGGAGTAAAATGTTGTAAAAATGACCTAGGTTGAGATCTTTCTGCTCATCGTCACAGAGGCATCATTTCCTCAGACCACAGAACAGCAGCAGACAACCCAGCTCCTACTCTTCAAATAACACCCATTAAACCAGGCAACCACTCACCCATCAACAGCCTGACAGCTTTGAGTGTCTATCAGAGGCACCACCTGGATGCCAGAAACCAGGTAAATACCAGTGCTTCATACAGACAAAGCCAGGACTCCACCTAACTTCAATTGTGAAACAGAAATCTATAGTTTCTAACTCACAGGGATGTTCAAAACCAAAGGAAGGAGGGAAGTTACCTATGAAGAGAATCTCAGAGTAGGAAAATCTACTTATAGCTTAAATGGGACAAGTCTAGACTAATGGAGATCTAGCTTTAATAGTGTTCAAACAGTACTTCTAAATATAGAGACCCAAATATTCCTTGATGCAATAATATCACATGCAGGCCCAAATATTCCTTGATGCAATAATATCACCTGCAGGTCTGTGAGCTGAAGAGTCATTCAAAACAAAGAAGATGTTATCTTCACAAATGTGTTCACTGAAGTATCATTAATCATAGCAGAGAGAGAAGCGGCAATAGTGGCAGTAACATCACTGCCCAAGTTTAGGATTTAGGATAATTCAAAAAGAGAACATCCAACATATGTAACTGGGAAGGCTAGGAAGTCATATGGAAAACTGTTCATTATAGAATGAAAAGTAATAGTAGCATGGTATAAACTTGGTGCCTCCTATGTAGAGTGTATATACCTGTAGACAAAGATTAGATGGGAAGCCCTGGCCGGTTTGGCTCAGCGGTTGGAGCGTCGGCCTGCAGTACAGAGAGACCCGGGTTCGGTTCCCGCTAAGGGCATGTACCTCGGTTGCAGTTTGTCCCCGGCCCTGGTTGGTCATGCGGGTGGCAGCCACTCGATGTGTCCCTTCACATCGATGTTTCTCTCTCTCTCTCTTTCTCTCTCTCCCTCCCGCTCTATATGAACAAAAAATGGAAAAATGTCCTCGGGTGAGGATAAAAAAAAAAGAGAGAGATTAGATGGGAAGATGCCTAAACAAAAATACTTGAGTTAAGACCATGGGGACAATGCGTGATTTTTCCCCCTCCATTTGGGAAATTTTTATTGCTCTATATTAATTGTTTTCAAAATAAAAATAATATAAATATCATAATACACATAATAATCCCTACTGTCCCACCACAACATTGAGTCAGTGAGGTTCTATTTTTATGTCCCATTTGTAGACACGAAAAACTTAGACCCAAGGAGTTTAACTTGTAAAAAGTCGCAGTTAGTGACAGAGCTGGGATTTGAGCCCAGGACAAGCTGCCTCCAAAGCCCACGTCTCAGCCACACTTGAGACATCCTGTCATAGGCGTCTTCTGTCTCTCCCTTCTCTATCACAGTAGGGATGGTGGGAAAGGGAGCTGGGAGACAGTTGGCACTGGCCTGCTAACCAGGATCCAGTTTGCTAACCGAGTGCATCGTTCCTGCTTTTGACTTAAGTGGAGCCCACAGAGGATTGTTCTGCAACTCTAAGGACTATTAGAGAAGAAACAATGCCGTAGCCAGATAAGAAAACTCAGAGACATCTCTATTCATTTAACAAAGATAATACATGCAACACTCTGTGTTAGGCTCTTCTAGGCATGAAATACAAGCAGCAGTCCCTACCCTCGTGGTGAGGATATTCCAGAGGAAGAAACATAACTGACCACTAAATGAATAAAAAGCATAGCTGCAGACCACCACAAGTGCTATGAAGGAAATAAACAGGACGCAGTCACAGAGATCCCACAGATAGGGTGCTCAAGAGAGGCCTCTCTGGGGAGGGGACGAGTGAGCTAACACCTGCTGATCCAGGAAGGGGCCAAGTGGAGACTTCTAGAGCAGTACGTGCTCTACACAGAACACTCTGAGCCAACGTGGCACAAAAATCACCAAGAAGCCGTCACCTGAAGCCCCGACAAGCTCCTGCGATATCAGACACCATTTATCTGGTGAACAGCTAAATTCTAGACCTCACAAAGTGGGCAGAATTATCATCTACACAATTTTAGCTGACATGTAGCCATTTCTACAAATCTGCATTTTGTTTAAAAGACTACTTCCATACAAAAAAAAAAAAACATGCAAAAGCAAATAAAGACAAGCCCAAGGGGGCATTACTTCTTCAAATTTGAGAGGTACAGCCAAGACACCTGACTCCAGCAGCTCTTCTCCTTTACAGAAACCAGTGACTTTGAGCTGTGGCTCCCTGTCCCAGTGAATGCTCACTTAGCCACTCCACCAGCCCTGTCAGCACCCCCAGAAAGGAGAACTCTGAGCCAGATAGCCCAGCGAACTGAGGTGAGAAAAAGCTGGGGAACATGAGTCACTGGAATTCCGTGACTTTCTGGCAACTTGAGCCTCCACACTCCATGTTCAAGAGAACAGCCAAAGCGAAAGAGAAAGGGAAGGTTCTGTCCTGAGTCACAGCAAGGAGAACTCTTCGGGCACAACTACTATGATTTGCGTAATGCTCTTAAGATGGGATGGCGGTATTACTCAGTTACTCAGGAACAAGATGGTGTTCACCTCCCAGGGCATCCACTGTGGGTGGCTAAGGGTATAAAGGACAGAGTAGAATCCTGCATTCCCAAGTCTAGATGGACTGACTCTAAACAAATCACTGCCCCTCTCCAGGGCATGGTTCCCTCATCTACATACTGAAGGTGACTACATGAGATAATTGCTCAGGTTCCTCTTCCAGCTCAAAGACTGTCTAATAAAATAAGGATAAGGACACCCACCTCCTCATAGGATTAGGACTAAGTCAGATAAACCATATGCAATGCTTAGCAGAGTATCAGGCGCATGGAAAGTGCTTACTAAATCTCAGTTATGATGACAAACATGGTGAAGGTGGCCATGGTGGTGAGGGCAACAATGAGGTCCGTCATCTAAACCTATTCCTTCTTACCAGGAACACCACATGCTTTCCATGGCCCATGACCCAGGAAGAGATAGGCCTCACAGCACTACCACACTTGGAGGCTGCATGTTTACTATCTCTGTGTCTGATGTCCTTCTCCCCAGCCACGAGCACAGCCACCACACCCGCGCTCTCCTCCACCATACACCAGTGTGTAGCGCAGGGTCAGGCACACAGCAGGCTCTTGCTTACTTTTCTGATGAATCAACTGTGTGCATGGACTATAATAACCAAACCAGTGACTATGAGACAGACACTGTTCTAAGCACTATATGAGATCACTCATTTCTTACCTGTCACAACTCCAAGGTAAGCACTATCATGATCCCTGCTTTATAGCTCAGGAAAAAAGCATGGAGAGGTTCGGTAACTTCCCCAAGTGTACATGCACGTAGCAGAATGAGATTTGGACTCAAACAGGCTAGCTCTAGTGCCCACACTTAATCACTGCTCCCCCATGTCTATTCTACTTTCACTGTAGAGTCCAGCTAGGGCTGCAGGAAAAATAAACTCCCTCAAACTCAGAACTCACAGGACCATGATTACACCAAGCTACAAGGTGGTACCCTCCTCTTGAGAAGCCATGCTAGCACAAGAATGCCCAGAGTCCACCTCCCTGGCAGCCTTCATACCCCACAGTCTAACTCCAGCTTCATGCAAGTAGCAACAGCTTGATACAGCAATGGAGGCAGCACCAGAGGGGACAGGAGGAGGAAGTGTAATTTTAGCATCACACAGGCAGAGTTCAGGAACTTGAACTTAGCCACTATAGAGCCCTAGGTGGCTCTTAATTATTCTTGCATTTGCTCTCTAGATCGCCTAGTAAAGGGCTTGTTGTTTCTTTGTTGTCTCTGAAATGCACATAATACTATGATATAAATGTATGGGGGCTGAGGGTGGAGAGAGCAGGTACACTGAAGAAAAGAAATGACAAAGGAGGATAGATGAGCAATCATCCCCAACATTATCACATTATTCTTCAACCAGAATGAGAGAACAGAATATGCATGAGAGGAAACGTGTTTGGTGAGCAACCACTTTCTTTAAAATTTTAATTCTCAAATTTCTCACCATCTGTAGCCGCCGCCCCCACCCATCCAACCTGGAAAAGTACCTGCGCCTGTCATTATGATCAATGGTATTAACTCAAAGGGGGCCCCACTCAGACTTCCACTCCTCCTCTGTGTGCTGAGGGAAGAGGCCAGAGTGAGAGGCGTCTATGCTCAGAAGGAGAAGTGAATATGGGGTAGGTGACTCAGTAAACAGGTCCACCCTGCCTGTGCCACAAAGCTCTCCAGAGCCTCCAGAGCTGCTACTATGTTTTCAGGAGTGGGAAGCACAGGTTCCACGGCCACTAAAGAGAAGCTGCTCACTGGGCCTGCGTAACAAGAACTAGGGAAGGACACTCAGGACATGTTCTCGCCCATCACTGGGTTTGCTCGAGGTCTTGGACAAAATCCTAATGGAACAAGACATCCCTTTAAACTATACATTCCTGAATCTGTAATACAAAACCAATAATCTCCAATTTCTTCATAAATGTAAACTGTAAAATTGGTAGAAAAGTACTGTAGAATTGGAAGAAAAATCTTTGCCATGGTCCCTCCTTCAAAATTGAATAACCCCTTTGAGTTAATACCATTGATCATAATGACAGGAGCAGGTACTTTTCCAGGCCCTGATATATACATTTTCAAAAAGCAGAAGTACTTGGCGGGGGGCGGGGGGTAAAGAGAAAAGACCTCACTTCTTACATTTTGGCTATCTTTTTCCCACCTACAGCCACCTCTCGAGGCCATTTCACAAGTAAAATCCATTAAACAGGTTAAGAGTATGCTGCTGCCCCAAAGCCCCTGCAGGTGGCGCAAGGGACTGCGGCTGAAGAACTAGTTTCTGGAAAAGCAGGAAGAAAATCTCTAGAATCCTTTTGTTTTCATTGATTCCAATGAAAACATCTTCCCTGCAGGCGGTCTCTAACACTACTGAAGGTCAAACTGGCTAGGGCTTCGGAGTGATTTCTCACAGGGCAGGGGAACCTGGGAGAATCCACCTCTTAAAAATAAACGAGACTCCCTTTGCAACCAACCGCATTAGAATCGGCCAGGTGTGGGCTAGTCCCTCCAACTCAGTAGTAACAAATGGTGACCTCTGGGCTGAAGCAGTCCCAACTTGTTGACCTGTACAATCTGTAATATATATCTTTAATTATTTGCCAAAATTTTTTAAAAATCAGGCAATTTCATGTAAAACTCTGACTTTTCTGTTTCTCTTGAAAAATGTCAGTATCAAGAGAAGGCTCATTTGCACACACACAGCAAAAGTGAGCTAAGAACAGAGTGCCACGCCCACAGGGCCCAATTTGTAATCCGTGTTCTAGGCTTGAGTCCCGGATCTCGAAATAAATATAATCCCAGGTTGTCCAGTACACAAGTATCTAGATATTAACACAAAGGAGGAATGGTTTCTACCTTTGGATGATTTATGAACTAGCACAAAATGATCAAATAACAAAATATGATGATGACTGCTCTGGGGATGACCACCCAGGCTGTCTTCAGACACTTGTCAAGAACAGATGAGCTAGGCTCCGGGCATATCCGCCCAAGATTTTCTGAAGACAGTGAGCTTAGATTTTCTGAAGAAGGTGTGTTTTCCAGACCTCCTGCCCTAAAATCCAAAGTGAAGAATTGCAAAATTCTCACCTTGGCAGCCCCAATCTGCTCCTTCCGAAACTTCTCCAAGGGCGTGATGAGCACATCACTGGCATTCTCAATCTGGTGAGGAAAAACAGAGAGGAGCAGGGTGGGGGAGACACAAGAGTAGTATCAGTAAAGAATTTGAGCAGTTCTGGCACAAAATGCCTCCCCATGTCTCAACATAAAATTTCAGTAAGCATATGGTAACTGTTCATAATACTTAAACTGACAGCATGTCAAAGCAAAGTCTAATCATCAGTTCAAAACATGGTATTCCTCCTGTGCATGATTAACATTGATTCTTTAAAAATAAAAATTAGGACCTCTAAAAATGTAAGCAACCATCTGAAGGTGGAAGGAAACTAGTGACAAGGTAGGATCTAAATTTCAAGCTTCCAGCCCTGGCCGGTTTGGCTCAGCGGTTAGAGCGTCGACCTGCGGTCCTGAGAGACCCGGGTTCGGTTCCCGCTAAGGGCACGTACCTTGGTTGCAGTTTGTCCCCGGCCCTGGTTGGTCGTGCGGGTGGCAGCCACTCGATGTGTTCCTTTCACATCGATGTTTCTCTCTCTCTCTCTGTTCCTCTCTCTCCCTCCCACTCTACCTGAACAAAAAAAAAAAAGGAAAAATGTCCTCGGGTGAGGATAAAAAATAAATAAATAAATAAATTTCAAGCTTCCAGTGATACCTTGTAAATGCTCATTCACCCAGGTTATGTTTAAGTACATATATTTAAAGCAGATCAACTGAGTCTGGATTACAAACAAATAGAAAGCATCTTTGACACCCAGTGGCATGAAAACCTTCTCCAAGGGTATGATGAGCACTTCACTGGCAGACTTTGTGTAGACCTAACAGTGCCTGACTGTGATCAGGACACTTGTGTCTACTGACCACCCGCTGCCTCTCAATTTCATCTCTCAGCCTCACCCCCTCAGGTCCTGCACTCCAACTACACCATCACTCGAAGGTACCTCACATGTACCAAACCTGTCCCACTTCTAGGCCTTTGCATTTAGCTGTTAACCTAGATGCTCTGTCCCCAAATCCTTGTGAGGACAACTCATTATTTACTGCCTTCCGTGACCACCAATGTGATCCAAAGAAAATTCCAACCAGCCCACCGAGTTTTTTCTTCAGAAGCGTAAGCCAGCTAAAGTTTTCTGTTCACCACTTCAAACACATATACACACGCACACCATCTTGTAAATGCTTACTTGTCTACCACTATCCCCAAAACACAGAAGAGTGCTGAAACAAAGGAGCACTCAAATATTGTTCAATGACTAAATGAATGAATGATTTCTTGATTGGCTGCCAACTGCGTGACCATCGGCAAAACATTTAACCCCTGTGGGCTCCAATTTCCTCGCCTTTTCTAAAACAGTACAGTATTTTACAATCTTTCCTCTTAAGTCATTCATTGCTTACTCGTTGCTCAACTAATTATTTCAGGAACCTCATCGTAACAGAGCATTATTTTTCTAAATCACATGCATATCCATTGCCATGAAACCAACAGAGTAAAGGCCAGAAGCCACAGATGGACACAGAGAGAACAAACAGGACAAAGTGAGGGAATGAAGGTGGCAGATCTCCAAATTTAATGCCATTTGCCTTTTTCTCAATTTTGAGAACATTTACTTTAATGTAGAGCAACACTAGAGTGTTGCAATATTTAACTTGTTTGATTTTTATTGTTATTTGATGTGGCTTAATTGGCTCACTTGTTTAAGTGTTTTCCATAAATCAAGTATAAGTCTCTAAAGCTCACAATTGTTTCTGAGCCCCTAAGTCAGTGTTTCTTAGCTTTAGCCTCATGTTAGGCTCACCTGGGGAACTTTTAAAAATCTCTATGTCCAGGCCACACTCCAGACCAATTAAATCAGAAACTCTATACTTCATCCCAGGTATCAGTGTATGTTAAACTTAAGTTGTTGCAGAGGGCATCCATGATTGAGAATCCAGCCCTAAGTAGATGGTAAATATATAAAAGTAGTAACTGCTCACCTGGGAATCAGGATGCCTAAGTTCCTGCCCCAGTCCTTCCACTGCTTGCTATCAGCCTTCATAAGACATCAACTTTCTCACCTGTCCAATGAGGGACTGCAGAGGTGAGGAATAAGGTCTGTCTGGGTCTGTAATTCTATGACTGTAATTTCCACTCAGTTCCAAGCATGCCAGTATTGGGGACACGGTGGCCCATTCTCTGCCCTTCAAGAACTCATATTTACTATGGGACACAAGCAGTGATTATCAGCATACAATGTGCTGAATGCAGAATCAGAGGCATGAACTGGATATTAAGAAAATACAAAGAATGGTCAACTATCCCAGGGCATCAGGGAAGGCTTTCCAAAGAAGGTACAGCTTTGCTAAGCTGAGCTGAATTGGTGATGAAGCTGCCACGGGGTGAGGAGATAGGGAAGGGGCTTGCAATGGCCAGATACTGAGATGCAGACAGCAGAAACTTGATTCACTGACATTAATAATAAAATTGCAGAGGCGAGCTGAAAAGGATAATCCAGTCATTGTTCCCTTCCTGTGGGCCATAGCAATCTGCAGGGTAGTATCATGATTTGCTCACCACACCACCCACCCCCAAATATGGACTCAGCCAAGAATCAGACTCCAAAGAATCACTTCCCTTTCTCAGGCACTAGCACGTGCACAAACACAAGATTTCCCCTGCCTCCACCCACCAGCAACCTGCTGCTGCTGCCACCACCACCTGAATATGCTCCAAACACCCAGCAATGAGCAATCAGGGGAAACAGTGTGTCTCTCTGCAGGGCAGAGGGTGAGAGGCTTCAAGCTCTGCTTAAAGTTTTCAAGTAACTCCCACATTCTTTGGTATAACACGAACTTGGGTTTGAATTTATTAACTGTGTGATCTTGGGCATGTTACCTAACCACTCAGAACCTTAATACCTTCATCTGGACAATGAGGATGACACAGGCACCACCCTCACAGAGATATCATGATGGTTAAAATAGAAAATGTGTGGCTACATAATGTCTTGGTAGATGCTATGGACTAAATTGCACCCCCTACGCCCAAATTCATGTATTGAAGCCCTAACCCTGGCAAATTAATTAAACAAAGAGCCATCAGACTGAGGTGGCTCTAATGCCTTAGTAGCCTACATCAGCAACCCAAAACCCAAGACTGTGAATGCCTCGAGGTTAAGAAATCAAAGCCTAAGAGTAAGCAGTCACAAACAACCAGGCTTTCCCAAATAAGGCAGCCACTTAAGCGATGGACAATTAAATAATTTCCTTGCTTGCTTTCCCATCTTCTGTATGAAAGTCTCCCCTAGCTCCTATTGGTAAAGCACTCTGAACTACTCAGGCTGGTGCTATCCAATTTGAATCGATTTTTGCTCTAATAAACTCTTAAAAATTTAATATGCTTTAGTTTATCTTTTAATGCCCACAATGTGATAGTATCTGAATATGGGTCCTTTTGCAAGGTAATTTGGTCACGAGGGTGGAGTTCTCTTGACATAATTAGTGTCCTTATAAGAGACATGAGAGTTTCCCCGCCCTTTCTCTGCCACGTGAGGAAACAGTAAGAAGGCAGCCATCTGCAAGTCAGAGAGAGGGCCCTCACCAGGAACCACAGCCCCTTGATCCTGGACTCTCCATTCTCCAGAACTGTGAGAAACAAATGTTTGTTGTTTAAGCCAACCAGTCTATGGTATTTTGGCAGCCCAAGCTGACCAAGATAAGAAATTTAGTCTCAAACCATCATTTGTTAGTATGGAAAGAGAAGAATCGTGTTTATTAATGAACTCTTCCTCATGCCTCAGAAGCACTACTTAACAGAGAGAAGCCTTTCTGGGGACAAAGCAGCATGTAGCCAGCAGGGGTTTCAAATCAGTCCTGGTATCTTAGGGATATGGGGGAAGATGCCAAAGAACCTGTGGATATGGAATCCCTCATCTGTTAAATGCTGAACCACATCAGAATACATTCTAATGCAAAAGAGCTCTCTTAAGAACCTGAAATCAACATTAGATTCTTGAACTTCTCAGTACTCCTCTTTGAGCTACCATCACTGACTAAGTTCCAGTTACTAGGTGCCTAGGACATGGCAGGCACTGTGTTAGGTATTTTGCAATTAAAAGTGAAGGAGTAACCCTGCCCTCCAAGAGCTCTTGGATAAGTTTAATAAGGTTGGGGGGATGCACAGTGGGATACCTTTGTTCCCATTCTGCCAAAGAAAAATCAAAGGCCTCAAAGAGTTAAATAATTGTAAAGATACACCCAGAAGTCATATACTTTATGTATACACATTACAGTGACTCTTTAGGAGGACAATGTAGTCATTCTCAAGTTATTCAAGTACATATATCCTATTTTTTTACAAAAGGCTTCAAACCCAGTACAGACAAGAGGATAAGGCTTGCTCAAGAGCTCAAAGCACTCAAGTGTCAGGGCCTGGACTCAAACCCAGTTCTTCTGATAACAAATCCTGTGCTCCCTAGATATGACCACACTGTCTGGGACCAAGAGTAGCCCAGCCATACTCACCATCCGTATCCGTTCATCTTCAAGATTCCTGAGAACAGTGGCAAACTCCTGCAAAGACTTTGCTGGAAAAGAGAAAGGGTCCATGAGACCGAAGTTGAGTAATGGGCCTTCAGGAGCCTTTCCAGATACGGCTATCATGTTATGGATGGAAATCCCTTGGCACATGCAGAAGCCTAAGGTCAATTGTTTCCCTAGGCTCCCATTATCTTTTCATCATTAACCATTAAAGATGACCCAGAAATGCATGTTAATTCCACCTGGCACTTTAGCTAGGGAAGGATTTCCTTCAAGGAAAAGACTGGCCTATTCCTGAGAGTACCCAGGACTGATGAGTTGCTGGCCGGCTCCCAGATCCCGGGCTGGAAGGGGCAGAGTTCCGCTTAAGAGCTGAAGGATTTCCTGCCCAGGATTCGACCTCCTCAACCTTTGTTGTGGGCCTGCGTCAGAACACAACCTTTTCTTTGGCAGTAGAACTGAACAAACAGTGCTGCTGGCACTGGAAGCCACATCTCTGACTTCTCCTTGGGTTCCTCCTGGTCCCCAGGCCACTTATTAATACAATACAGTTTGCAGCATGCTGGTCAGGTGGGGATTGTCTCCTGTGCTAGAATTATTCCCTAAGGCAATAGACATTAAGTGCCAAAACCCTGAGGATATTTGGGACATTTGTATAATGTTGGGAAAAGCATCCATATATTCAGGATTTACAATGATGCATCTTCACTGCTCTCGGCTGTCTCCCAACTGCCTTTGTTCATCCCCAGATCCTGGTGCACTGCACAGCAATAGGGACTTAATAAGTACTTTATGACTTCATTAATTCAATATAAAATTCTCAATACTTATTCACTTCATAGAGTCAACCAAGATGCCCAATGTATGAAGATTAAAGTGCCAGGACTAGGCCCTGGCAAAGAAAGGTGTCTTAACATTGCAAATCCTCTGTGCTCAGTGTTGCCTACAAAAGACAGGCAGGTGATGGTGAAGAATGAAGCAGCACAGTGAGGTGATAAACGGTAACCCTACCATCAGCCTCTTGTGAAAGAAACAAAAGGGAAAGGTGGGGATGACTGTGAGCTAGACACTAAGCTCCTCTCCCCATTTGAAGGCAACAGCGGCTACACAGCGCCAGCCAACTATTACCAGGCAGAATGTGGGGCCAGCTGATCAGATTCTCCAATTTTCAAAGAAGCTGGAGAACCAAAACTGTAGGGTAAATTCAATTTACACAGTAATTCAATTAAAAATGAGTACCAAAGAAAGCATGGCTGCATTCTGATCTCAGCCCATGAGCTAGCATTTGCAACCTCTGATCTAATTCTTCCCTCATCTACCTGCATTCTGCTTTTGCTCAAAGTTCTTAGTGCTGTGGTTGTGGGGAAGAATGGCACACCACCAGCTAGAAGCAGAGCACTAAAGGAAGGTGGGAAGGAGAGCCCCACTGCAAACCATCCAGCTTTCTCCTGCAGGAGGGGGTGAGAGAGGCAATCCCGGAGCTCCAAGAAGAAGCCCAGAATAACCCCAAATTCCCGATCCTCACTTAACTCTGCCACCTCTGCTGTTACTATGGATTTCTTAATTTATGACAGATTCTTCTTATCCCCTGAAAAAGGCTCAGCAAGGACATTGAAAGTTGTGATAAACAGCATAGTTATGACTTACCTATACACATTTCATCATCTGTTTCTGCATCTCCTATGCACTGAAATTTAAATTCATTTAAGGAATCGGCAAATTTCCTCTTCGCTGAAGATAAATCTAGGGAGAAAACGAGAAAAAAATGTGAATTACTGAAATATACTAGCTTTCCTGTTTGCTGCACTTTTTAGTCCTTCCACTTCTATAGAAGTTGGCAGATTTCTTCCTGAGTCCATCTCAAAGCACAAAAGAACGTAAATTCAAAATAGTAAACCCTTGTTTATAACATGAAATGCTGATTTGCTTTAGAAGTTAGTATGCTTGTTGCATCTGCTTTAACAATTCTGGCCTATTTCTAATTCCTCCAGGTACACAGTGAGTCCTGGCTTCTCCATTTGACACAGGTGGGAAGTCACTTGCCTGAGGAGGTCATGGAGGAGGTGTGGCATCTACAGCCCTGTAGGTGCACTCTGTCACTGGCCCTCCATATGGTCAGATGCAACAATATCTTCCCCTAGTCCAAATCTTACCACAAACTGCTGGAACGAAGTGCTGGAAACTGCCCTGTCCCCGTGGCACAGGAGGACCTGAACTTCCTCTTCCACCTGAACCATTTATTTCCCTGGGTCACCACGTCCCACTACTGCCATGAGAACAAAGCCCTGGCAATGTATGGGGCTGGGGTAACCCCACACATAGTATCTATAAAGAAAGCTCTCAGAGGCCCTTGTCAAATTTAAACAGTAAGCTTTCATTTAATAATAAAAGCCAATGATCCTTCTATGAACCCTCCACTTCTGTTAAGGGTATGAAACTACCAAGGTACCTTTCAGGGGCCTGACAGACACGGCTGCTCAGCACAAATGTGCTTAACTTAATTCCACGTGCAGCCTTCCTGCAGATTAGGCTAATCACTCAAATTACCCTAGTCCATGTGCCCCTCACTGAAGGGGAAATAGCATTATGTTCAAATTCCCAGAGGAGGGAAATTATGAGGCAGAACTGGCAACAAGGCCTGGCTTTAATAAGATATTGGTGTTGGGGGGTGGGGCAGGATTCTGGCTTCACAGATCAACAAAACCTACTGGAATAGCAGCACCCATGACCCTCAGCACTTCTCCTTTGTAGTTCCCAGATTTGTCCCTTGAGGCTGGCGATTAGGTTTTCCCCATCTTTTGCTTTTGTTTCTTTGTTTCCTCTCCACATACCTGGCAGGGCATCCTGCTCTGTGTGTGCTTTTTAATATGGGGAGGTGGGGAGGGCTGTATACAAATCCAACCCCCAATGTTCAGTTCATCAATCTGAGTGTTCATTCCAAACAATGGTTACCAGTGGAAGAGCCAGGCTGGACTGTCCCACTCTCAGGTGTGGGGCACAGGGTACCACACTGGATACCAGAGGCTCTTGCTCTGAGGCTGCCCTCCCAATGGCTCGGATGACACAGGTCCCATGCCAGCTGTGGCTTGTGCAAGGTCCTCTGCTCTACACCAAAAGAGGAAGGTAATTGCAGTGGAGAAGGAGAACATGGGAAACAGCAGCCAACAGTCCAGGGTCTCTCCCTGGTTCAGTCACTTTAATGGAATGGTCCTTTGGCAAAAAGTCTAAAGATGCTGGCAGGAGAATCAGGCATCTCTTAAAACTGGCCAACCCAGGCTGAGGATATCCCTGAGAACACAAATCACTCCCTGGCAAGAAAGAAACAGATGCATCTCAAAGTCAGAACACTGTGTGACGGAAGGACAGAGGAGGCCACCAGCAGAATTAAAAAAAAAAAAAGGAATTATAACTTTTCAGAGTGGAAGACAAAGCTCCCCAAGAGGTCCAAAGTGTATAGTACATGGAATGCAGACATGGTTGGACTCCATGTCATTTTATTCAAAATGGTCCCCTGATCGGAACTCATAAAGAAAGACCTGAGCAAAGAGGAAGAACAGAGTTGTTTCTCTATCCACCTAAAAATTCTCCTGTGCCTTCCCAGTAAGGCAAGAAAGACTCAAGCTCTCAACAAAGTGAAAAAAAAGTGAAATGCAAGCCAGGCTCAGAAAGCTCCCAGCATGCACCTGAAAAGCTGTGCTGCCAGGGACCTCTGCCAGTGAGGGTCTGCACAACAGGGCCTTTGGGGGGGGCTCTCCACAGCAGGACCCATTTAGCCAGGAGCAGGCCTGTTAGCTTAGGACCAGAGGTAACCTGATGTCATTGTCCACTGGCACACTGCACACCCTGCCACAGCACAAACCTGAGAAGAGATGTGGGCCCCACGAAGCTGATAAAGAGGCTGGTCCCCCGATGGAAGATTAGGTAATGAGTACTGGTATGGAGTCAATACTGGGCTGCAGGCCAGTGAGGACAGCTGGGTAGAGTGAGAATCCCAATTATTGGGATCTGAAAAGGAACTCACCATGGGTTTGAATGACTCACGCTTCAGAGAGAAATCTTTCTTTAAAGGCGCAGTGGACACCTGTTGTCTTGCTTGTTCAGCATCCACTCCTGTCTTTGGGACAGCATCTCCAGCTTGCTCTAAAGGACCTCCCTTCTCTACTTGCACTGTATGGGATTTTGAGTATATGCTGATCAATCCCTTCCCCAGCCCCTGGCCCTCTCACTCCAACCCCCACTGACTCCTGGGTTCAAGTTTCATCTCCATAATTTACTGGATATGTAACTAACCCAGGGTTAGTCATAAAGTCTCAATCATTTCAGCTGCCTTATTCCATTAAGATAAACCCCTTCTTGTCCTGGCCACCTAGCTCATTTGGTTAGAGCATTATCCTTATATGTCAAGGTTGCAGGTTTGACCCCCAGTCAAGGCACATACAGAATCAACCAATGAATGCATAAATAGGTGAAACAATAAACAGGTGTCTCTTTCTCTCTCGCGCGCGCGCGTTCTCCGCCCTTAAATCATTAAATTAAAAACCAATTTTTTAAGAATTTAAAAGATAAACCCCTTCTCTGTTATTTGGGAAGTAAAGAGGACATCAAAATAAAAGAACACCCAAAGTCATTGCTTCTTGTCTACTTCAACCCAAAAGGATTAGTGGCATCTTATGCAGACTATCACCCTGGCTATGCAGCTGCACTGAGACTTAATTCTGGAGCTTTCTCTCTGATGCACACAGGAACCCAACATGCACATTCCAGTAAGAGGAGGGTGGAGGAGGATAGGATGGTATTGGTGCTGGGTGCCTGCCAAGTTTCGTGGCGCCCTGCTCATATAACCCCACTGTTTCATGTTCAGGCAGTGCAGGACACAGCTAAGAGCCAAGCAGAGCAATAATATTTACTGTTGCTAGAAAGGCAGAATGCTGGCCAGAGTGGAGAGAAGTCATGACTAGCAGCCTCTGGGGAGGACAAGTATCCGCTTTACAGAGTAAGTAGTCTCTGCATCTGAGTGAGGAGACCAGGTGGACCAGGGATATGGAAGCAGCGAGAAGCCTGGCCTTGAGAGGCTTCTCCCAAAGCTGTCTGCTCACCAGGGACCCAGAAGAAAGTCCCCTTCTCTACCTGGAGATGCCATGCTCTGCCACAGCACATACTAATCTGCAAAGAGCTTAGGAGAAGTTAGGTCAAGTATAATCTTTTACAGAAAGACAAGGTTTATCACCATTCTTTAAAAGTTAGAATCTACCTTAATTTACACAAGTTTCACTATTAATACCACAAGCCGAGCCATTTTTTTTGTACAATTTAACATTTACTCATACACACAAACATACATGTATATGGACGCCCACATAATGATGGACTAAAGGTAACTTTACAATTATATTTTTCAGTGTATCTATTGCCTTTCTCTGACCTCCAAAGTTACAAAAATTGTATATAACTACACTTAACATTTTTTTGCTACCCTGATTAGTTAATAAAGACCAACTGCCAAGGTAAGTAATTGCTACAGGATTGGCACCTTACAGAACAAGAATCCTCAAGTCTCTGGGCCGTACTTATCCCCCTCCTCTGAAGGCCAATAACATGTACCAGAGTCTTTATGCCTCATCATCTTGCATGTGGAATGGTTCTGGCACACTCCATGAGTGGTCTCATGCTATAATGTATGATTGCCTAGGACAGGGCTGGACAAAGTGACCCTCAAAACCTGCTGTGCTGACTTGATCGGGCACAGCAGTACAGGCTGGCTGACAAGTGGTGTGTCTGAGATCCCCCAGATGAAAGGACCACGGTGGGAGCTGAGAGGTGGACACCTGCCCCCAAGAGACTACAGCCTTACCCCACAACCCCATTCTCAGGTAAAACTCAACATACTCAAAACCAAATTATCGCTCCTCTCCTCCCCTCTCCCAAAGGAGCCAGCTAAGGACCCTTCCTGTGTCCCCAGTTCAGTAAAGGGCACCACCATGTCCTTCCACACAAGCCAGAGTCAGGCACCCATGTGTTGTCATTGACAGTGCAGTCCTCCCCAAGTCTGAATATTCCGCCTCCTAAGCATCTCAGTTCTGCTCACTTATATCCGACACTATCAGCAACCCATAAACCAAATACCCGCATTTGCCTGGATAACTGCAGCTGCCTCCTCTCTGGTCTCCCCATATCCACTTTGTCCCTCCAGTTAGTACTCTGCCCAGTCATGTCAGCTCCAGCGTGAATTCTGCAATGGCTTCCCAGAGCTCTAATAACAATGAACAAAGTCCCTCCCAAGGCCTGAGAGGCCCTACAGAGCCTGGGCCCCCATCTCCCTTTTCTGGGCCTCAGACGCCCTGGCCTCTACCAGTTCTTGGAATGTGCCCTATCCCTAGCTGCAGCCCTCAACATAAAAAGTCCTTCCTCCAAGAAGCCTTCCCTGATTTCTCTAAACAGGCCAAACCCTATTCTACTTTCACATCCTGAGTCCTATGCAACTCTTCTTCATATTGTTCGGGTAATTCTTTGATTAATATCTCCCCAACTAGTAAGTTCCATAAGGGTGAGGATCATGTCCCTAGCACTCGGCCTGCAGAGAACAGATGTCACAGAAAGAACAAAGGGAGAGGGGAAGCCGGGCACCCCACTAGTTCATTATACTCATCAGAGGTGATTCTATGCTTGACAAGTGAGAAAAGGCAGATGAGGTAAATTAGGAGAAACTTTCCAACTTATGTAAGTCTGGTTGGAGCTTGTATATG